CAGCCCAGTGCCAGCCCAGTGCCAGCCCTGTGTGTGGCTGCCCGTGGCTGTTCTGTGTCCGTGTGTGACACACCCAGGGAGGGGGTTTTGTGCTTCCAGGGGATCCAGAGGAAACGTCCCTCCGAGGTGCAGAGTGCCCTGCTGAGGCGTCACCTCCTGGAGCTCACCCAGAGCTTCATCATCCCCCTGGTGAGTGCCAGGGAGTGCCTGGGGGAGAGGGGAGGGCACAGGAGGGTGAGGGGTTTGCTCTTCCCTGTGACAGCGTCTGTAACAGGCTCAGGAGTGTGGAATCCTGGAATGGTTTGGGTGGGAAGGGACCTTTAAGCTCATCCCAGCCCCTGCCATGGGCAGGGGCACCTTCCACCAGCCCAGGTTGCTCCAAGCCCTGTCCAGGGGTTTTAGTGCCAGGGATTCCAATCCCTCCTGCCCTTCCCACCTCACCTGTTTTCTCTCAGGGCACACTTGGGGTTCCTGCAGCAGCATTTTGTGACCTAGATCCTGGTGGGAAACCACTTGGACTCACATAAAATGCGACTGTGAAGGAAAAAATGGAGGAAAAACCCAAAGTATGAGGCTGTTGTTGGGCCTGGGATGCTCTGGAGAAAACCCTCAAACCCCGTGACCTCACAAGGGGCTCCTCAATTGCTGTAACTTCTTTATCACTATTTTAATTTTGGGGTTTTATTTGTTCTCAGGAGCACTATATTGCCAGCCTGATGCCTCTGCAGAGAGCCATCACTCCCTGGAAGGTAGGTTGGGTTTTCCAGTTGCTCCTTCTTCCCTGTGGCTGCAGGGTTGGGAATTGTTGCCCCACGTGCTGGTCACACGCCCTGATGCTCCATGTCACGTCCCTCCTTAAAGGAAGAGGGTTGTTACTCCTTTAAAACTAAAATAAAGAACTTGAAACAAACCTTGGGGCAGATGTTTCCTGTTTTGCCATGAGCTGAGCTTTGGGAATTTCACTGGAAGGTTGACCTTAAGGTGTTCCTGCAGTTTTATTCCAGTGCTTTGTGCACCTTTTCCAGTGTCAATACAGGCCTCACTTCCCTGGTTTCTTTTGGAGCTCTCTAACCTGGACTTTGTGTGTGCAGAACCCTCCCCAGATCCGTCCTTTCTGTCAGGAGGATTTCATGAAGACCCTGGAACACGCTGGGCCCCAGCTCACCTGTGTGCTCAAGGGGGACTGGTTGGGCCTCTACAGGTGGGATTGGGGTCATTAATTCTCTTATCCCATCAAGAGTTATTAGTTATAACAAACATCAAACCCTGAATTAGGATTGGGAGCAAAGAGGGAGTTTTGGGACTGGTCACCTGCAGAACTTATCCTGTAAATTGATTAAATCAGAATGGTTGGGAAGAGCAACATCAGGGCAGAGTGAATCTGGTGGTTTGTGTGTCTTAATGAGCAGAGCCCCTGCAGGAGAGTTTGTCCACAGTTACAGTGAGGCTGATTAAATATAAATGCAATGGAAAGGACAGTACAATATGAGTGGAAAGAATCCAGAAGTTGGATACTCAGTGGGAAGGGAAAAGAGAAGGGAAAAAAATCCAAGGAAGTGATCAGAAACAATAATCATGGAATTCCAAAGCCCTGGAATGGTTTGGGTGGGAAGGGACCTTAAAGCCCATCCAGCCCCACCCCTGCCATGGGCAGGGACACCTTCCACTGTCCCAGGTTGCTCCAAGCCCCATCCAGCCTGGCCTTGGACACTTCCAGGGCCGGGGAGTCCCTCCCTGCTCAACCTGTGCCAGGGCCCGGCATTCCCGGAGCCGGCTCTGGATCCCCCTTCCCAGCGTCACCTCACGGAGCTCTGGGGCACGTGGTGGGATGTTGGGGTGTCCTGTGCAGGGCCAGCAGTTGGACTGGCTGATCCCAGGGTCCCTCCCAGCTCAGGGCTCTCCATGACTCCACCATTCCCGGCCCTCTCTCCCTGCAGACGTTTCTTCAAGTCCCCGAACTTCGACGGCTGGTTCCGGCAGCGGCACCGGGAGATGACCCACAAGCTGGAGGCCCTTCACCTGGAGGCCATCTGTGAGGCGGTATGTGCCACCCACAGGGGTTGGGGGCAGTGCCAGGGGACCCCTGGGACCAGGAGTGAGGGCACTGCTGCCTCGGGCACTCCCTGGTCCTGCTCCCACGGGATCTGTGCCCTTGGGATCACGGCCCTGCCTCGTGTCCCTCGGGGCACAGGGATAACCTGGGACAGGGCAGCTCAGCTCCCACATCCTGCTCCCACTGCTCCTGCCAGCTGTTTGCCATTCCTCAGGCTCTTCCCAAGCCAGGCTGGAAGCACCAAGGGCTTTTAGTTTATTTGGCCCAAATAGTAGGAAGAAATTCTTTACTCGGAGAAGAGAAGGCTCCAGGGAGATCTGAGAGCCCCTTGCAGGGCCTAAAGGGGCTCCAGGAGAGCTGGAGAGGGACTGGGGACAAGGCATGGAGGGACAGGACACAGGGAATGGCTTCCCAGTGCCAGAGGGCAGGGAGAGATGGGATATTGGGAAGGAATTGCTGGCTGGGAGGGTGGGGAGGCCCTGGCACAGGGCAGTGGGAAGAGCTCTGTCTCCCTCATTTGGGAATGAGGATGAGAAACCTGTCCTCACCTTTGTCTCAGGCTTTGCTTAGGGGGATCCTCTGGGCAGTGTCCCTGAGCAAGGCCCCTCTCTCTCTGTAGGACATCGTGGCCTGGATGAAGGACAAGTCTGAGGTGGAGATCGTGGACCTGGTGCTCAAACTGCGGGAGAAGCTGGTGAGTTCTGTGGCAGGGACAGACCAGGGACATGGATCACACCTGTGCCTTGGAAAGCTTTGTCCTCCCTCCCTGGAGAACTGGGAAACAGGACAGTCGGGGAAACCTTGTGTAAAATGCTCAGAGTTCTGAGGGTTTGGGTTCTTCCCTGAGGCCCAGGGGGTGTTTCCTTGTTGTCTCATATCCCAGACCGGAGCGACCCTGTGCCAGAGCCAAAGGCAGAGGGGAAGGGGGAGCCCCTGAAGGAGTTTTGCCCCCTGTGTGTGCCCCTGCAGGTGCGTGCCCGGTGCCAGCACGTGCCCGTGAGGGAGGAGACGCTGCAGCGCGTGGGGCTCTACATCGACACCATCATCGGCTCCCTGCCCGAGGACCTGCAGGCCGTGCTGCACCACCCCTGAGCACAGGGGGGGCTCCTGGAGAGCCACAGGGACCCTCCCACCCCGCTCCCACCCCGCTCCCACCCGGCTCTGGGCAGCTGCAGTTGCGTTTGGAGAGGGAATTCCTTCCCAGATCCCGCCGGCGGGGCCCGGATCTCCCCCGGGGGGGACTCGGAGTGTGGGTCGGAGCCTGTGCACTGCTCCCTGTCTGATCCCGCTCCGAGGGGCTGGGCTGGGGCTGTCCACCAGGAATTGTCCCCTGTGTGGCTGCCAGCAGGGCAGGAAGTGCCACCAGGCCTCCGGCAGCACGTGCCAGGCTGTGCCCGGCGTGCGGTGCCCGCTCAGACACACCGTCCTTGTCCAGTGCATTCCCGTGGCCTCATCCTGCCTGGAAGGAGCAGGAGCAGCCCTGCTTGGGGCTCAGGACAGCTCCTGATGACGAGGATGAGGTGAAGAAGCTGTCCCTGGCAGCCTGGCTCAGCCCAGGGCGAGCTCCAGCTGCAGGGGGAGCGGGAGGAGGAATTCTGGACATGGAAAGCTGCTGGATTCTCTCCAGGGCAGAGCCAGAGAAGGAGGGGCTGGTGCATCCCCAAGGATCAGAGCTCTGCAGAGTGCCTGGGGTGGCTGCTGGGAGGAGCTGGCTCCAAATGCCATTCACCCTGCTTGGAGAGTCAGGTCTGTGCTCTGACAGCAGCCGGGACTGGGGCTGTGCCCGGGGCACTGGGAGGGCTGAGCTCAGTCCACTTCCCGAGAAAACCTGCTGGAAAATCTGATTTCTACAGCCCATACCAAGAGGGAATGCACAGGATTGGGCCCTGCTCCTCTGCTCCTGCCTTCAGAGGCAGCTCCCCCTGCCTGGAATCCCCTTCCTGCCCTGGGAATGGATCCTCTGTGAGCCCAAGGCCTTTGCTGCTCCATGTCTGCATTTCCCCGTCTGGGTGTCTGGCCAGGGCTGAAATTTTTGCCTAAAAAAAAAGGGGTTAGGAGGGATCTGGCAGCCTTGTCCTGCCAGAAGCCTGCTGTGGTTGAACTGGGCACCTTTGCCCGTGGCAGGATGGATCCTGCCCAGAGCCGTGGCATTCCCAGTGCTCCCAGTGCTCCCAGTGGAAGCTGCGCCGTTTCCATCGCTCTGCTGGGGAGGTGTGGGGGACTCAGAGGTGGCTGAACTCCTGCATTCCCCCTCTGGAGCCAGGCAGGGAGCAGCAGGAGCCCCCTGGGCCTCCCAGTGCCTGTGCCCTCCCTGGAGCATGGAATTCTGTGCAGTATCCTGAGGGACGGTGTATATTCTGTACATAGAGTCCATGTGTGTCCGTGCACAGCTCTGGGGGCCCTGCTGGCCCCAAACACTCTGTAAAGTAGAAAATATTAGTTTAAAAAAAAACAAACCTGAAGCCAAGCTTGGAGTCCTGGTTTGGAGTGTCCGGAGTTTATTTGGTTTGGGGTGGGCAGTCCCTGCTGTGGGGTTTGGTCACTCCTGGGGTGTTCACAGCACCCGGCCTGGCGTGTGTCCCTCTGCCCTTCCCAGGGCAGGGAGTCATGGAATCATTTGGGTGGGAAAATCCCCTGAGCCCAGGGAGTCCGACCATCCCCCAGCACTGCCAGGGCCACCACTGCCCCATGTCCCCAAGTGCCACATCCACAGGGCTCTGAAATCCCTCCAGGGATGGGGACTCCATCATCATCCTGTAGCTGTTCCCCAGCAGCCCAAATTTCCTCCTCCTGGCATTGTCCCTCTCAGTGATGTATTTTTAGTTTTGCATTTCTCCCAAACCTCATCTCCTGCAAACTCATGGAATCCCACACTGGTTTGGGTGGGAAGGGACCTTAAAGCCCATCCAGCCCCACCCCTGCCATGGGCAGGGACACCTTCCACCAGCCCAGGTTGCTCCAAGCCCCGTCCAACCTGGCCTTGGACACTTCCAGGGATCCAGGGGCAGCCACAGCTGCTCTGGGCAACCTGTGCCAGGGCCTCCCCACCCTCCCAGCCTGGAATTCCTTCCCAATCTCCCATCTAACCCTCTGGCAGTGGGAAGCCATTCCCCCTTGGCCTGTCCCTGCAGGCCACTGTAAATAGTCTCACTCCAGGATCATCCTTTTCCCTTTCCTCCACACTGTCCATTTTTCTCCCTGCCCCCTTCACCCCCACCAGGTTTTCAGCCTCGTTCCCAAATCCTGGATTACCTGAGCCATTGTGTAGAATAAGAAATGCCTTATAAACTCTGCAGCCTAGACAGAGCTGTTTAACAGCTCCAGGTCCCACTTAGTCCATGGGATGGAGGGAAGCAGGGGATGCAGGATCACAAAATAGGTTGAGTCAGTCACAGGCTTTAACAGGAATAAACAGGACATTCACCTCCCTGTGGGAACCTGCCCAGCACCTCCTGTGCCCTCAAACCTTTCCAGGCACGAGGGGCCAAGTCTGGGGAGATCCTGCCGGGACAGGGATCTGTGGGAAGTGTCCCTGCCTGTGGCAGGGGTGGCACTGGATGAGCTTTAAGGTCCCTTCCAACCCAAACCTCTCCATGATTCCATGAGCAGCCAGCGACGTGCAGATCCTGCCTTGGCTCCGGGCAGCCCGGGGGGAGCAGGACAAGGTGGGATCTCAGGGAACAGCCCCCAGGGAGTCGAGGTGGGATCTCAGGGAACAGCCCCCAGGGAGTCGTCGTAGAAAGCCTGGAGGCCCCGGGGGGGCTGCAGGGGGGGGGCTCCTGCCCAGCACCTCCCAACGGAAGTTCTTCCTCATCCAGCCATAGACCAAACTGTGCAGGAAGCCCTGGAGGGACACGCTCAGGGCCTGGGGGAGAGAGGGAGAGGGAGAAGGCAGGGCCAGTGCCGCCATTCCCTGTCCCTGCAGACCCCGGGACCAGCCCGGGCCGGGTGACACAGGGACAGGTGACACAGGGACAGGTGACACAGGGACAGGTGACACAGGGACGTGGGGATGTGTCTCTCCTCTTGATGTGGTTAATTAAACCACATCAAACCCCTGGGAAGAGCCCAAGGGTGAAACCCCAACCGCCAACCCGGTGGGAAGAGCCAGGCTGGGCCCAGGACTGTGTCCCCACCCTGCAGCCAAAGGGGTCCGGGCTGTCCCCAAGCCCTGTCGCTGTCCCCAAGCCCTGTCACAACCACGGGCCCTGAGGGGCCTAGCACCACTGACGCACTGGGTGGGGACAAAATCCGGCTGGGGAGCCCTGGAGATGGGGTTTTACTCACTGCAGCAGCGTAGAGGACGAGCACCGAGGCGGGTTTGACGCTGGTGAAGGAGAGGAGGGTGAGGAGGAAGGCTGCGGGTGGGAGACAAAAGGACGGTCTTTGGTGGGACACCCCCACCGTGACCCTGCGGGGCTGGGGGGGCCCCGGGACACCCCCAGCCGGACTTGCCTGGTGTCCAGCAGAGCAGGAAAACCAGTTGGAAGCAGCGGGAGGCTTTGCTGACGCTGCGGCCGCTCCCGCCCCCGAAACCCGCGTCCCTCTCCAGGGGCAGCAAAGGCACCGCGACCGTCCCGCGGCAGCGGAGCCTCACCCGGCGGTACAGGAGCTGGGGAGGGGGCCGGGGGGGTCAGCGGGGCCGTCCCGGACCCCAAACCCGCCCCTGCCCCGCGCCCTCACCGTGCAGCAGCCGAGCACCAGCAGCAGGTACAGCAGGAAGATGATTTTCCCCGCCAGCCCCGCGTCGTTCTCACCGAGGGACTGGGAGGCAACGGGAACTCCGTGGGGTCGGGGCAGGTGGGTCCTGCGCTCCCCAGAGCCCCCCGCC